ATCCAATACAGAGCAAATCATTTAGGTACCATGAGGCTTGGCTGAAATACATAAGAACCCTTCCTAAATTTCCACTGCTTTCCCCTTTTTGCCTTGCAGGAGGTGGCAGCATCCTGAGCCCGGTACAGCTCCAGCCGCAGCAAGTGCTACACTGGAAGGCAACAGAAAAGGTCTGAGTGAGTCATTTGAGCGTTGTCATTGATGTTAACTGTAGTTCTGTTATCTGGCTGCAGCCCAGCGCAGGTTGACATGAGCTGGTGGTGTGTGAGTAGTGGGTTTATGGTGAGTCAGCTCTGGAGCCGGGTGGCCTTTATGATGCTGCTGCTTAAGGTTTGATGATAAGAGTGTGCTGTGGTTGATGATAAATATTATCTTCCTCCTTCAAACGATGTGGAACTGCAAAAGTAAACATGAAGCTGGAGGCTAGTGAGAGAAAGGCAAGACACGTCCAGGCGCTGCATCTCTGCATCCCTCGTATTCTTACAGAGCCCTCATAATAATAATGAATAAAGCACTGTTCTTCCAAATCCCTTCCTAAAATAAACCATCCAGATGGCTGTAAGTGAATACCTAGTCATCAAGCTGAGTAATGCTTATTTTGAGTGCATCAACCAAGAAATGTGTACGATTGTGCTGAATTATGCACAGTGCAACTCAAACAGATGCACACGCAGAAGCAGGAATATCACAAGTGTCAGACAGCAGTGGTTCACACTCTCATTCTGGTCCTGGTCTACAAGACTGACCTGAGAGCTATTTAAGGGTGTGTAACATGTAATGTATAGGGAGGAAGAATGTCTTTTTCTTTCCTACAGCTTTATAGGTACTGGAATTGCTCAGAAATAGGTACTCGGTGCTAAGCGAAGTTAAATGTTCTCGCTTTTCTTTTGGGGAGGATGTTGGAGAGGACAGAAGGATTTTCTTGCAGGCTGTGAGAGCAAGGTTATTTGCCTTTTCAGGCAATACCAGGATCCTCTCCCCTCCTTTCCCCTGGAGTGTCCAATTCAAACCTGGGAAAATGAAATCCAGAAGGATTTCATTCCTTTCAGAATGAAAAGGAAAGCGCAACCCAGGTGCTCTGCAAGGGCTGCCCGTGTCCATAGTGTAAATAGAGCAAAACATACATTCACAGAGATGCCTTCCAGCCAGCTCTGCCCAAACTAACAAGCTTGTTTAGTACTTGATCTGAAATGCCTGGTAAGCACAGAGGTGTGCTTGATTGCTTTTAATGGGCACACTTGGTGGGATGGCTTTCAGCAAGCATCCTCACAAGGTCTGTCCAGCTGAGGAATAAAAAAGGCCCATGTTGGCTGGCACCGCTGCTGCATGTTTCCTGACTTTACTCCTCAAAGCTCAAGTAAAACACTTTCTGAAGGGAACCCCCACTGTAGCATTATGGAGGCTGCTTCAATGTGCCCTCCTGGTGCCAGGACACATGGGGGGCTTCAGAAGCTTCAGCTGAGAAACATAGCACCTGAAAACCAGTTTGTCCACTACACAACCCTTTACATACCTAAACTTTGTGCTAAAATGATAGCAATTGCTTTATTTATTCTTTTTATTCTATTATTCTTTTATTAATATTTATTTAATTATTCTTTATTAATTTTATTTATTCTATTTATTACTTTATTTATTCTTTTTCCTGAATGCAATCTTTATTACCTGTGAAATCAAGCCCCTTCCCTAGCTGAAAATATGTGAGCAACTTACTTGTATGGGAGGATTATAGTGGTATAGCAGAAAAATAAGCCTATTAGAAGCCCTTGAGGCATAAATTCAAGCCCTCATTAATCTCTGTGGGCTGCATCTCAAATCTGAAGTTTTATAGGATGTGGGTGGTATTTCCAAAGTGAGTTGCTGGAATTGGTTGGCTTAGAGGATTGACTTAGATGATAATAGTATGCTTCTGAGCCACAGCCCTCTGCCTGAGCAAGATACAGGCTGTGATTTATGCTGTGAACATCACTGATATGGGGCTGTGCCCATAGCATGTAGCTGGCTTGAGGTCCCTGCAGTTCTAGCACTGGAGGGCAGAAGGGCTGTAGGAGCATGTGAAGGAGTGGGACAAACACACAGAGCTGTTGGTAGACTCATTTTGAGTTTGTGTCTCTGCTTTACTCTCCTTTTCAAGAAAGAGTTGAACTTCCTTAGCTGGGGCAACTCGGGATTTTTACTGTGAAATCCCAATTAAAATTGAGGAGTGTGGTGGATGTGTCATCCCAATAACTGTATCAGTCCTTTCACCCAGCTCTCAGAGGAGTCCCTTGCCACTGACAGTGCATCCCTTGCCACCGACAGTGCATCCTGTACTACTGACAGTGCATCTTGGTATCACTGAAAACCTAAATGTCAGGAATAAGGTAATGCTGGCTTTGGCACAGGAGAGGTGCAATTCACTGTCAGCTTTTCCCTGTCTCTTAATTGCATCTGGGAGCATCAGGTTCATTGGTTTAAGCTGTCATAACACAAAGATTTGACTCACTGCTGCAAGAAGAATGGCAAGAAAAAAGCTTAGGGCATTTTAGGTTATGACTGAAGTGTTATCTTCAATCAAAGACAGACTGTGCCTAGAAAGAGTAAAGTCTAAAGGTTAAATTCCAGCTCCAAGAAGGATGCAAGCTGGAGGGATTCCCTGTTAGAATATGAAAAGAGCTGTTGCTGATTTTGCTATCACAAGTGTCCTGGTACCTCAGATCTAGGAATGTTCCACATTTTGTTAGAAATATTACTAAAAATTGAAGGGTGGATGAAGAAATCTCTGCTTATTATGAGAGATGATAACAGCAACATGAGCTTAAGTTTAAAGTTATTTCATTTTGGCTTAGGCAGGTACGGATTGGAGGAGAACCTAATCTTCACCTCTTTAAAACAAGTATAAAGAGCTGAACCTGCACTTTGGGAAGCAGCAGGTGGAGATTTGGCCACAGAAGGTCTGAAACCCAAAGTTCAGCTGAAGCTGATGGAGCTTTTTGTCTTTGTTTTGTGCCCGTGTGAATGAGTGTGAGAGCCTGAAAGATGTGATCCCCTACGGGCAAGGGAGACCTTTACCAAAGTAAAAAGCAAGATAGTGAAGAGACTGAATCCGGAGTGCATCAGTCAGCTGGAGAAACATCGCCTTTCCCCCTAACAAGAAAGCTGCAGTTCAACATTTCTTTGGTTTAATAATACAATTTCCTATGAGCCAGATTCTTGTGGCTTTAAGCATTATTAAAGCCTGTAGGCAGGTTGCTATAACGAGCTGAAGAAAAACCCCTGCAGAAAAGAGGTTTCTTTTCTCCTATAGCTTTGGTTTCACTTCAGAGCATCAGAGGCAGAGCTGCGGATTACTGGTTCATGAGCACAGCCTGCCGGCTCCAGCCGCAACGTGCAGCGGCGGGCATCTCCCTTCTTCATCCGCAAGAGTTTGTTGTGGAGTTCGGGGATGCTTTGGTTTGTTTCCCTCTGGGAACAGACGTGCCCATTGAAATCCCTGTGAGACACCCACAGCCTTTATTCGGAAGCATGGAGAATAGATAGGAAAACACCATGCAGCTCTCTGCAGAGACAAGAGGTCTGAACCTTTACAGGTAAAAGACAGAAAAAAGCTCCTGAAACAATGGTAAATGAAGAGTTTCTGTCCTCTCCGGCTGCCAGGATGCTTGGGGGTCCTTAGGGATTGTGGGGTTATTGCAGGCTGTGGCATCAGTTAACATCACCAGGCACAATGATTCCCATTACCTGATGATGCTCTCTCTGGGCTATACCCAGTGTTTAGGTTTGAGGCTGGCTTTCAACAGACTCTGTGCCACATTTAACCCCTCGTGTTAGCTCTGAGCTAGCCAGTGTGTCTGCACAGCCTAGGGAAAGATTTGCATTATAGGCTTCAGGTTGGATGGTCTTGAGAGTGTGACATGTTTTTTTTTTTTGGGGGGGGAAAGACCAAAATAGAAGTCCCTAAGCTGGGAGCTCACTTGACTGGCTGCAAATGCAGAGCTGGGAAGGTGAGTGTGGTCTGCTGAGTAGCCTGTTGAAGCAGTCTGTCCAGGCTGGCTGCAGGCATGACTGATATCAATCAGTGCTGGTCCTAAGTTCATTTGCCCAGCAACCTTCTTTACAGGACAAATTCTCTTTTGTTATTTGTGTTTGGGATTCATCATGCAGATTTGGCACATTTTCTTGTACAGAAAACCCTTTTGCACAAGATCATCTTTTTTAATTTGATGGAAGCTTTTGCCTTCAAATGAAGACCTCAAAGTTATCACTATCGGTCCCACACTGCCTCAACACACGGGCATGCTGACACCTAAAGCTGTGCCCACCACAGGGGCGGCTGCTGGAGGAGAGCCCAGAGCTGGGGCCAGTGACTGCCACATGGAAATTCATCTCAGCACCAGACCCCCACTCTCCTGCTGTGTAAGCCCTAATTAAACCCTTGCAGCAGAATAATTAATCATTAGTAGGGGAATTAAATATTAGTCTCTACTGTAGTAAACACTGGTTATATATTAACAAGCTCGCTAGCTATCCATTAACCTTTTAAGCCCTTTCAAATCCTCTTTATCATGCTGCAGATTTGAGTTAAATATCTGTCTGAAATGACCTTAAGTGAGTGCCCTTTTACTTGCTATTAAAGGCATTAAAAATTCCAGAGCCAGTTTAGTTATTTTGTCCTTTCTGGTTGTTATCATCCTTTCTATTTGGCTTTATTTAAATTCAGCTATAGGGAAGGCTTATCACACTATTGCTATGGAGCCATTATAACTTCCCAGAGACTGAGGGAATCACTTCCTAAAATGATGAGTGATAACTGAGGCAATGATTCTTTTTTCCCCTTGTTCTTGTGCTGCTTTGCATCAGGCATTGGCAGATCTTACACCTCACACCGGAGTACATGCCCTACATAGATGCAGAACAGAGACCACGGGAGAATGAAGTTAATGGGCATATATAAGACCCAAATCAGATTCAGAGCCACAGTCCCATTTTTGACCTCTGACTTCCAGCTTGTTAAGGTAAATCCCTGGATTTCTCTTGCACCTCTATGCTCTCATTGGAAGCTAGGGCTATTTCTTCTCTGCTCTCTATTCCTTTTTACTAAAAATGTAAGTAAGTTGCTTAAGGCCACAGTTTGTGCAGGCTGGTGTCCAGTATCAGATCTCCCACCTTCAGGGTTTATAGCCCTGCCACTAACAAGGTATCATAATGGACGTGAACCAAGTGAGAGAAGAAGGGAGCTGTGGGACGTGCTGACCATAGCATCTAACTCTGCAGTGCTGAGAGATTTGTAGCCAATGCAAGGGCAGAGCTGCTTTTAGGGGTCAGGCTGGGTCACAAGGAAAGTATTTATGATGTCTAGATAGAGGAAACATCTGTTCTTCCCATCTGAAAGCCATGTTGCAAGACAGTCTTGGTGGCTTTGGCTATGAAGTCATGCTTTCCGTTCCTTACCTGTTTGTTAGTCAGGAAAGCAAATGCAAGCCAAATGAGGATTGGAAAGACCTGTTTGCCAGGTTCCTGCTTGGGGTGGGAAAGGCAGCAGAGGTGTTGCCCTTGATGATGCTGCCTCCTCCCTCTGCATCTGCAACCCAGGGCTGCAGCACAGACTCGGCCCTGGTGCAGGCAAAGATCCGCTGTCAGCTGGAGACGTGCTTGAAACGCTGCCCGCACTGCTCTGTTCTGCATTTGAGGTGATGCCCTGTGTCCTTGCTGAGCGATCCTTAATCTCTTACATCTTTAATCAAGGTATTTTCTTTTGGACTGCTGGAAACGCTTTTCTCATGTGGATTAATTAGAAATAACACCTAGCTCTGACAACTGAATCTGCTGTGAGCTCCGGTCAGGGTACAGGCAGTCCTCTAAGCCATTCCTCATGACACTGCTCTTGCTTCTTACTTACTTTTAATCCCTGTTGTTTGGGAGCTGTAGGCTGTGGTCAGCCGTTCTCAGTGGAGTTACAGGCAGAATCAGTGCAGCTGCGAGAGCAAAGCTACGTGTGAAACCCAACCTCGTGCTGCTGAAAGCACTGGCCTGATTCCAAATGCCCTCGGGCAGCCCCTTTTCTTTCAGGATTTGCACCTCTGCTCAGCAGGGGTTCCTGCCTTAAAACCTGGTAGTTCAGCTATTTGGAGTCGTGGTAATGCTTTCTCCCATTTCCTCCCTTTCTGTTAGCAGCAGCAAGGTGTGAAACTATGGTCTGAAGTCGGTAAATCAACACTGACTAGTTAATGGCTTTGATCTGATCTTCCTCAGGGTGTCTGTTTTAGTTTGATAAGCCTGTGGGATGTGCAGAATTAGGATGATCTCTTGGAGCATATTCACCCTTGTGTGGGTGACTTCAGGTTAGTTTCATCTTTGTGTTGACCCCTCTCTAACATATTTCCCACAAAAAGTTCTAATTCTGTATCTACAAAGAGTTTAGACAAAGCTCCGTTCCTTTGCAGTATGAATTTGTCCAAGGAATATTAAATCCTATATTTTGAAGCCAAAAGTAAGAGCTGTTACAGACTGGATCAAATCTAACCCAGCAGGTGGGTGATGTCTCATCCCCCACCAGTGATGGGAGATGGGACAAGGGACCTGCACATCTCGGGTCTAACCCAATCTGGGACCTACTTTGATTTTTCCTCTCAAGCCCTCTCTCAGGGGTCTTTTAGTAAGGCTTATTCATTTTAACATCTTATAAACAGAGCCTGGAGAACAAACCATGGATTTAACCGTCATTGCTGCTGATAGCACATTACTACATAGTGTGCAGCTTCCTTGGGTGTGTTCCTGGGACCAGATGAGAGAAGTGCTCTGATGAAGTGGGATTTTGCTTGTCATGAATATTTTTATGAGAAGTCTCTGTGCCTTGATAGTTCCTGGAATGCAAATGCAAAAGGGGAGGAAGCAGGTTTATTTTCTATGGTGTTTTTCATACATCTTTTAGTCTACTTTTGAGGTCCTAGAAAAGATTATGCTCGTTCATTGCAAATTCCTGTGGCAGGGCAGCTCTGCTTCACTTACAGAGATGCTACAAGGGCAGCAGGCAGTAGCTGATGGGTCAGGGTTATACATCCTCCTGGGCCCATGTAGTTCACCAAAGCTGTTCACAGTACAGTGTTATTTCTGCTGACCAGAACATGCAATATTCAGCAGGAGAACATGCTTGTTGGCATTGCTGGACTTTCAGCAATGATGGAAACACAGGTCTTTCACTGAGTTGCATTTAAATGTACAAAATATATGTAAGTAGGTAAGCTCATCGTACTGTTTCCACTTAATTTTCTCTGGCTAACTGGCATATAATATCATAAGAAATGGAAATAATGGTGGTTATTGTATCTTCTACCAAGAATATTTCTGCTTAAATTACTAGGGGATGCTAAAAAACTGAATGAGAAGGGTAAAGCAATGTTTTGACCAGGAGCCAAGTGTAGAGCTGTAATGAAATAGATGTTTAAGAGAGTTCTGTGGCACCAAACTTGGTTTTCCAAATTAAAAAAGCTTTTACACAGTGTCTGGAAAAGGGAAGGAAGAGGGGTAAAGAAGTATTACTGTGAAAGATATTCCTTCTTATGGGCAAAACCGAATAGCTTAAATTAGCAGCATTTTCTGGTTTGAGTGGGTTTCTGAACCTTCTCTTCTTAGAAGGCGATTTTACAAGCACATTAATAAGGACAGAATAACTTCAATGTAAGAACCACAACTAAGGAGTCCTGTTTGCAGAATATGGTTGGTCACAACCTTTCATTTCATAGTTTGGTTCCTTTGAAATGTATTCTAGTTTAAGTCTTGTTTCTCGACTCGTTCAGGCTTCAGACTTCCCATGGTAAAATTGCTTCATACAATGATTTCATTGTCCACACGTTGCAGAAAAGAAGCCCATGTGTCGGATAGTCAAAAGATCAGGCAAATATTTGACTCGGTGTGCAACAAAATATTATGAGGTAATTTTATTTTTCCCCCCATTTTTAGGTAAAAATATTACAGTATACAAGATAATCTTATTAAAGGTAAAAATACAGTATTTTGCTTCTTTTTCTAAACAGATCTACGTACAGTACACTTTTTATTTTGTTTTTTTTTGTGTGGTTTTTGTACAAATATAACTATTATTCTATTAGGCTATCTGTATTCTCATCTGGCACTTAAAAACTGATCACGGGGCACCTTCTGGCTCTGCTTGTTTTCCTTAGCTTATGCCTAAATGTAATGTTCATCTTCTAGGTGTCTCTTGTAAACAAGCAGCACAGTTCAGTGGTTCCCAAGTAGTAAGGTGTTCTTTAAGTAGTTGAAATCATGTAGCTAAATGTAAAAACCCAAGCAGAGTTTGCAGTTGTGTTGCACAGAGTCATTGCTTTCCAGTTGTAACAGTGCAATCCAAGTACTTGTATTACTCCAGCCTTTAAAACAGCTTCAATCCCTTCTTTGTCCTCTGTAAAAACCAAACACATAATAATTTCCACAATGCTTTTTCCTTTATTTCTTCTTTTTTCTTCTTTTTGTCAGAATGTTCTCTGTGGAATTGAAGCCTTTTTTGTGTTGATTTAAAGGTTTGAAACTACTGGGCTATGTTTTTCATGATGTATCTCACCCTATGGCTTGCTGTTTGACCTCAGGAACCTGCAAGCTGAGCGCAGTTGCATCACTGTCACTGGATAACTGCTGTTCCTTGAACTGAATACATTAGCACAATAAATGTGATTGCTGGGTATTCCTGGGAAGTGAGTTGCACATCATTATGAATATTTCAGTACACTGTTGGGGAAGCTGGGGTCATCTAAGGATAAGAGAGAGGCAAGGTGTGTACAGAGAGACCATATCCATTTGTGGACTAGGTAATATAGCTGGAAAAGGGGAACAGGAGTTTCGGGCTGGGAATCGTTGTATCAAGTTCTTGCAGAAGGGTGAAAGGATGCTTTACCCAACAAGCTCCATTCATTTTTTTTTCCAATGCTGTCATCCCTCTACAACAAAAGTAGATGACCTCTACCTGCCATACGTTGCCTTGGTCAGTTCAGCAGTTGATTTCTCAGTTGCTTTTCATTAGCCACAGTTCAAAGGTATCTATCTTCAGGGATGCCCATGTAAACATAAAAGGGGAGTACACACCCGAGGATAGGAATTTTCAAGGAGTATGCTTAGCACATTTTGTCTTCAGGCTTCACCCAATTCTGATCAATACAGTCCCAGGTGGTGTAAATGAGCACAGTTATGTTGTCTTCACTACAGTCAGACAGGTGAAGATCTGTCTTTTTTGCCTTTAACTAGAGGTGCTTCCCTATGGTGCATCTATTTCTGATGTCAAAGGGAATACATTTTTACCAGTAAGTCACTTTTGTACCATAAAAGGTTTAACCGGTAATAAACTCACCAAGCACAGCAGCAAGGCAAAGTGCTCCTACCAATGCTTGCTAGTTAGCAAAAGTTGAGTGTGCAGTGCCCATCTTTTATATGGTTTTTGCTCTCCTAAGATGCTGGTTGAGATTGAAAAGTGTTTAGAAACCAGTTGCCTTGCTCTGTTTTCACCCTCAGATGTCCTTGTTTAAGGTCTTCCCAAATTTGTCGCTCAGCTGCTGTATTAGTCGTGCCAGCTCGTCAGTAGCTTGTGACTTTTCCTCTAAGAGCTCATAGCGGAGACTAGAAATATCTTGCTTAATCTCTTTAAGTTCTCCTAAAAGGAGGAAAACGTCTTTGTTAGTAACATTGACCCAAATAAGTAATCCCTATGGTTTTAAGAGCTGAGAGAGAATTAATTTCAGTGCGTTTGCTCATGAATGAGTATGGAGCTCCAGATTACGTCCCTGCATTTATGCATTTAATATTTGTGCCTATAAGAAATAACCTGTATTTGCAGTAGTGGTACTGACAGCGATAGCAAATATGTCCAATGTATGGAAAGTTACCTTTTTTTCTGAAGTCTACTATCTCTTCACATATTTATCTCTTATCTATAGGGGGACTTACAGGAGAGTAACACTTAAGAGGTGATAGAAGGAGGTTCTCTTCCATCTGCATACAAATCCTATATGACATAATGACAATACAAATCCTATATGACATAATGACCATACAAACCCTATATGACATAATGACAATACAAATCCTTGGAGCAGGTAGGCGCAGTACAGGCAGAAGTTGCTTTGCTTCAACACCAAGATAAGGTTGGGTGTTGGCAATAGCCTGGGTGTTGCAAAACAAGGAGAGGTAGAGCTACGGGGCAGAGCAGAACTCTGTAAAGATCCTGTGATATATGTATTCTGCTAAGGAAAATTAAAAACCCAGAATTTATGAGCATAAAGGTGGCTCAGAGTCAGCACTGATGACACATGAATGAGCAGAGGATGTTATCTAAGCTGATGCCTCTTAGTGTTGGTATCAGTAGCAATAACACTACATGCTCTAATATGTGTCAATTATAACAATCCACTTGCCTTCATTAACTTCATCATTTTCTCGGTCAACCTGAGCCTTCAGGACGTATCGCTTAATCAGACGCTTCATTATTTTCTGAGAAGAGAATAGAAACACTTATCTTCATGTGAGCTTAGCCCTGCTGCCTTCATTCTAGACATCCTCAGCAATTCAAACACCTCATTTCACTATGCATAAAATCTGTCTTCAGGGAGTGCAAAGAGAGTTTATTTATTGACTTCCCATTTATTTTATGCTTTCTCTTATGAACTCTGTACTACAACAGATGATTGACAGCCACTCCATAATGAGCCCATGTACAAGGCACTTTCAGGTACTTCATGGAATGCATATGAATGTAGAGTATGTCCCACAGACAGAAAGAAAACACAGATGATCCAATAGCCAAGTTAAGAAATGGGATCCAGAGCCTTTCCTTAGCATGTTGCTGTTTAGTATAGCAATAAAAAGTACTTTACAGGAAGAAATAAGTGGTCAATTAATGATGTTAGCAAACTCTCATGATGAGGGACTAAATATCTGACCCAAAGTTAACAGAGGACTCTGTCTTGCAATTGGGGTTTTAAGAGAGAAAATAGATTTAGTGAAGAACAGAGAGAAAAGAGTTTGAACAGAAGTAGAGAATTTGGTTTAAGTGGGAAAAGTTTCTTAGGAAAATGGCAGATTTTAAGGGACATGCACAGGATAAAAAAATGGAGACATGCAGACTTATAAAATGGGGGATGATTGTTAATAAGCAACAGCATCTATGGAAATAGTAGAAGATGGCTATGGAAAGGAGCTTGCAATGCGATATTGTTCCAAAAATGCATGTTACATCTACCTAGAAGGGCAGTAACATTGGCAGTCTTGGGCTATGCACAGGGCTACAGCTTAAGGCTGCATGGTTGCTAGTTCTTCACTACAGAAAAGACACTCATCAAAGGAGAAAAGAAATCTCAGCTATAATAAACATAAAAAGGATGGCTCTATCAGAGACAGTGATTTGGGTGCGTCCTCTGTAAACAGAGGAGCTCAGTGAACACCCAAGAACACATACACAGATGCATTTCATTGACCAGATGGTCACTGCTAGGGGAAAAGCCTTTCCCAGCATGTGCTCAGTTACTCAAAGAGCAATCACACGTCTCTGCTTTGAGCATCACCGAAAAACACTGCAAAGAGTGGGAAATACCAACTAAGAAATCAGAACACCTGCTCTTTTTTCTTAGTATCCAGGTATGGATTATAACAGTGCAAAAGGCGTGTGAACATCAGAGAAGGATCCAGTCATTTGTATATGTCATGCAGTCATGGAATATGGGATGTCTAAGACTGTCCTTGTATCAAGGAGGCATCTGGCTAATCAGGTGAATCATTAAGGCAACAGAGATGAGGCACAGCGCACGTACGGTGTGTTGAAGATGGCCAAGGTAGTAGAATCCAGAGGGAGGTAGGGTGGTCACCTGAGAAAACATAAATGAAGTAATGTTTGGGGAAAGTAGGGAAATCCTGGATCCAAAAGTAAATGATTTTCTTTTCAGAACAGACTACAGAGGAAACTTAGCCTAAAACAAGGAAGCAGCACACAGCGAATGCTCTTATTACCTGGAAAAACAGGATAACATCACATCTATCTACTCCAGTTCCCATACTACTTCTGTTTCTGATGGACGCTACTCAAATGCTATCCTGTATTAACCACTATGTGTGACAGAAGTCACAAGCTTAAGGCTGCTTAGTTTATCTAATATATGTTGTAGTCAGATTGGTCTACAGAAACTAAAAAGTGTGAGCACTTTGTACCAAGGATCTACTTAGTCATTGAGTAGTTATTTCTGCCAATATCTTTAGGAAAGTAATTCATTTTTGCCTTGATACTGACCTGGGGCTTTTATGCCTCGCTTCTCCCCAGTACTGCTTCTTTCAGTTGGAATATGTGAAATAGCCTCCAGGAAAAATAACCCTGGTTATTTAGGGCAATGCTGAACCAAACTTACAGAGAAGCTCTTGGGAATGAGTGCCGGACTGGAAACAATTAAAATATGTCTGATTTCTATAAGGTTCCCCATTCTTCAAAAGTTAATGGAAATTCTTCAGGTCTCAGAGAGCTTTTATACTGTGCAACATTCAACTACCCACTGTTCGGCTTAAAATAGTCTTCATGGGCTCTAGGAACAGGTCAGGCATTTTCAAATTATAACTGCACCGAATTCAATGTTTTTTATGTATTTATTGGCACAGCCTTCACCTTCAAGCTCTGCATTTGCCATCAGGTATCTGAATACGTTCTAGCACAGGGGGAAATGAGAAGAATAGGACAGAGGTACTGAAGTTGGACTCGTGAGGTTTGAGGATCAGCTTCTGGTTCAACCATAGGTTTTTTGGGTCTGGTAAGTCCTGCTGGACCTTATTTCTTTGTCTTTAGTGTGGAGGCCATGATATCTTCCCACTTCATGTCCCTGGTCAAAATCAGGTGCAAGTTAGCAGTGATCAGAGGGGACAACTACTCACTGGGGCATGAGATCTCAAACCTGGCAATCTATTTTGTCTCTCAGAACAGCAAAGAAATCTACTTCTGACCCTTTTAAAGTGCAAACTATTCCTTCTATTTTGTTTTCCAGACAAATCCTTTCCTTAGTTTCATAGGTGAAGATGTTGTTGACAATTTGGCAGACTGCAGTGCTGCAAATGGGAAAACCTCATTAATTTAGCAGAGCATTTTAGCACTGCTTCATCTTAAAAGCTCGGGTCAACAGGGTTTGATAAAGATATCATTTTGCCTGGACTAGTTCATTCCCAGACCATGGCTGCAGTGTGTTGACTTGTTCTTCCTACTTTTCAAATCACTGCATGTTCAGATGCTGTGTATTTTTGTCCTTCCTCAGGAGCACTGTCTCTGTGTAGTAAAGGTACACAGACTGCAGATACATCACTTGATAAATTCCACCAAAGAAAACAGCTCAGCAAGAAGGTACTGCTTCAAAGGTTTTCCCAGTTGTAGAAGAAAGTTTGCTGGCCAGATTACCAAACTGTTTGTTCTTCTTTATATTTAACTAATTAAGAGTATTACACTCTCCTTATATTATTTGGGCAATTTTTTCCTGCAGCAACTGAAACTTTCTAAGGTCATTTGAAGACAAACCTAGTAGGAGCATTTTTAAAGCAAAATAACAGGTAGCTAATCCTTTTCTATCTAATTTTCACAGTTGCTTCTGGCTTTTTCAACCTTGGAAATAAGGGTCTAATTTACCACAAACATTAGGTGGTCTCATTTAGAAATAATAGCTACAGGAAGAG